TAGATAGATAGATAGATAGAGAGAGGTAGATAGTTAGATAGATAGAGGAGATAGATAGATAGATAGATAGATAGATAGATAGATAGAGAGATAGAGAGATAGATAGATAAATAGAGAGATAGATAGATAGATAGATAGATAGATAGATAGATAGGGAGATAGATAGATAGATAGATAGATAGAGGGAGGAGATAGATAGATGGACCGATAGATAGATGGATAGATCGAGGAGATAGATAGCTAGATAGATAGGTAGATAGATAACAGAAGCCATCGCATGGTCCATAAACCGCAAACGCAAAATCCTGGACAGCTTAACCCTAAACCCCAAACATCCCCATCCTGCTCAAAGATGATTCCGGTGGAATCGCCAGCGATACTTCGAAACTCCAGAGCGAACTCCTCCACCAAAGGCCCTCCAAAAGCTGTGTGCTTCAGGGTTTCCGGTGCTCCTGGGTTTGGTTCAGAGGTTTAGGGGTCCTTTATGTTTAGGGGGGTTTCCTGTGCTCTAGAGGTTCAAAAGTAGGCTTTGGGTCGATGGTCTGGTGTGTGTCTAGTCTTTTGGGAGATACTACAGACCACATCTCTCAACCCTACATCAACTGCGCCCTGTGTGGACAACCAGCGCTGTGCGATTGACCATAAATTAAACTGCATCCGGTAATATAGTGGCCTTACATTATAAATATAACAAAGAACTCCCAAAATAGTATAGGCATAAGGAGCCCCCAAAATAGTATAGGTATTTGATGGAATCCCCAAAATAGTACAGGTAGTTATTTAGGCCCCTACATTACCCCCTACATGACCACCAGGGCTCCTTAAGCTACTTACTCGGCAAGCTACTCTGCAAGTCCTTGTGCTTTCCCGCTTTGGGTTTAGGGTTTAGGGTTTAGGGTTTAGGTTTTAGGGTTTAGGGTTTTGGTTCAGGGTTTACGGTTTGGGGTTTAGGCCTTAGGGTTTAGGGCTTAGGGGTTTGGGGTCTTGGAGACTCCAGTGATGCAGTCGCACAGGCCAACCATAAGCCTGCGTGCACCCGAAGCCTTGCCGCAAAGGCAACTGAGCACAAGGTTGCCCCCTCTCCGCAGAGGGGCGGGCACATTTTGAAATCATATCTGACGTTATTGGGTTTAAGCTTGGGTGGACAAGTTCCATCAACAGTGCTGCATCTGTGTCTTCAGCCGGGTTGCTGATGCGCTCTTCGGAAATGACGACGACATCCCAACCTGTGACAAGGCATCACGCACGCTGCAAGGCTAGGCGGTATGTCCAAGAGTTTCAAGACAGGGTCAAAGCAGCTTCGGATGCTTCGCAGCATTTCGGTCCAACATCGCTCTAGAAGCATGCAGAGGCTTCCCCTAGCTGACTCTTCAACTGGCCATGTGATCCCGGAAAACTCGGCAAGATCTGCTAGCAATCAGAGGAAGCATCCGCTGTATAAATCTTGTGTGGACTCCTACTGCATTCGTATATTCCGAAGACAGCTGTTGTCAAGTATGACCATTATCATTGCTACTGGTGGCACCCAGCAGCAGCAGCCGTATTCTTAACATGATGCTGACATATCATCGGCATCGCCATCCTCATAGCCATCATCACTACCTACTCATCATCGCGATCACCATTTACATCACGTCGTTTCCACAGCCATGTTAGTCGCTACCATCATAATCGACATCATCGCGTTCAGCCTCCTCGTCGTTCTCGTCATCATTCTCCTGCTCATACTAACCATACTCCTCCTCCCCATCATCATCATCAGCAGCATCAACCATTATTCAGCCAGCAGCAGCAGAACTGGCTTTGGCATCAGCACCATTCGGTACGATTCGTGGCATGTTATTCCTCATCCAAGCGGCCCTTCTTCTGGAGACCCAGCCCCAGCGCTATAAGTGGCTGCAGATCACCGCGGGTCCCGACATTGCACACTGCGCACTTCATGGCTCCAAGCACCTCCAACTAGTTCCTGTTCGGCCACTAGACGACTGGTACCTTTCCTTGTTATGTTTATGGTTGCTGTGACGGGGAGCCGGACGGCAGCAAGTTCAAACCCTCTGTCAGTCAACTCCAAGTTACTGCAATCCACGCACACACACACACAAACACACACCCGCGCGTGCAATAATTCCGATTCGCCAGCTGGGAGACCGACTTCTCCCGGGCCAGCAGCCTGTTCACGACCTGCCCGGGGCTTGAAAAGGAAGGTTTGAATCTGGCTAACCTTATGAAAGCCAATATTACTTTTTCTAGCTCTCATAACTAAGGCCACATGTACCGTGTATCACAAATGCTTTGTTGTTATGCTGGGTCTCCATCCTGGCTTGAAGTTCAGCCCATTCTAATTGCAAGCTCTTAGGTTTGTGGCTCGGGTTTAAGCCGGACTGGAGACGCTAGTGCTCTGGGCTTGTTGCATCTTGTCGGTGGTGTCTTCAGGGAAGAAGGCTTCAGGTTTCGCAGGTCGGAGAGGAAGCTCGGCTTAATGTCTCTGCTACCTGCCGTCAAGCGCAACTGAGGTGATGCGTGGCAGCTCGCCTCCAAGCCCGCTGTGGGCTTTGCGGTGCAGTCATCATCTTCGTCCTCCCCCTTATCCTGCTCTCATGCCGTTATGATCGTCATCAGCACTCTCACCATCATCACCACCACGCTCCCCAACCTTCGGCAGCAGTAACTTTTAACAACAACAGTATAGTCAGAAAGGCTGTCATCACGCTCGTCTTCACATCTTCCCCCAATCCCGTCTTCAAAACAGTATCAGCGTCTTTTTCAGTGTCGAAGTTCTTTCGTGCCGCCATCACATAGGTAGTTGGGAATCCCTGCGCTTGCCTCAGACAGGCCGTATCGCTCAAGGTTCGATGGCACCACCAGCTCCTCCTCAGGCACCTGCATCACTTCGTCTGTTGGACACAATTGATGGAACTCGGGCGGTCCAAGGCACAACCGCCCGGAAACCATTCCATGAGCACTGGGAAGTTATTATTTGTACCAACAACGAGAAGCACCACACGTGCACACAAGACATATGAGCTAGTGTCACATTACTCGCAAGCTTGCATCGGAGTTTCGGAAAAGAAGACCTTAAATCACAACAAACCCGAAAACAGTGGGACATGCTCGAACTTTGGAACCCAGCGCATCGACCGCGGCTCACATGCACTGCTGTCCACCCCACACCGAAGAACAGGGGCTGTCGGAAGCCGGCGTACAACATATAGACCCATTAGTCCATGCGACATCCTCGTCCAGCTACATGATTCCTACTATTCAGCGCAGCAGTAGTCAGTCGTCGTCCTGGTCGTAAGATGTCGCGAGTCGTAAGTAGTGTAATACGTAGTAAAGTAAGCTGCACAGAGTATGTGATAAGAGCAGACAGCGGAGAGAATCCCTGTACTATAATTCATCCCTAGGGAATAGGATTGGTAGTTACTTAGGCTTCTATAGTCCCTGTCCTCATGCCTGGAATGCATCTGGCAGCTTCGTCACAAAGCTGACGAGGGCTTCACCTCTTAGGGGGGGAAGGCTTCCTACACTTCCTCGCTGCTGATCTTCGTCTTTTCGGGGTTCAGGTTTAGGGTTTACCCTCCACCCTAAAACCCAAACTCAATGTAGGGTCTCAGGATTTTGCGATTTTGGGAGTTTGGGATCTTGGAGTCTTCAGGTTTCAGGGTTCGCGGGGTGTTGGGCTTTGGGGTTCAGGGGCTTTCCGGAATCGCCGCGACAGCACCGAGAGATTGAGATCCCCAACTCCTGACGGGATGAGTTTAACGCTTGAAGGCCTCGATTTTCAATCGAACAAAAAGGGCCTCAGGCGTTAAGCTTACTTGGAGGTTCATGGGTAGTTATAAGTGGGGTTATGACTAGGGTAACTATAGTTATAACCCATATTAGGGGACTTATAACCCTACTTATAACTACCCGTGAACCTCCAAGTACAGTTTAAGACTTAGTCCGAAGCCTGAGCTGGGACCTCGCGAGCCCGAACCGTCTTGAAAAGCTTGAACCATGCACCCTACTTGGAGGTTCATGGGTAGCTATAAGTGGGGTTATAGGGTTTAGGGTTTAGGGTTTAGGGTTCTACTATTTGGGGGTTCATGGGTAGTTATAAGTAGGGTTATAAGTCCCCTAATATGGGTTGTAACTATAGTGACCCTACTTATAACCCCACTTATAACTACCCCCTGAACCTCCAAGTAGTGGCTTCTAGTCACAGACTCAAAGCCAATAGGCTCAAACCCCCGAAGCCTAGGCTCTAACTCTCTGAACCCGAGTCCCTCTCGCTAAAGCCTGAAGCTCCAAGACCTGAACCCCAAAGCATGGGGCCCTGCCAGCGTCCCGAACCGAAAAGCGACTCAACTCCACGAACCCAAGGCCCCAAAAGCCCTGCCGCAGGCGTTGAGAATCTTCCCTCAATTCGAACCTGATACGGGGTTTAGGGTTTAGGGTTTAGGGTCTAGGGTCTAGGGTTTAGGTATGGGAGCTCGAACTCGGCAACTAGGGCCTATGGAAGCCTGAAACCTGAAACCACCTGTGACGGTTTCGGGACCCACTACTTGGAGCTTCATGGGCAGTTATAAGTAGGGTTATAAGTCCCCTAATATGGGTTATAACTACAGTTAACCTACTTATAACCCCACATATAACTACCCATGAACCTCCAAGTAAACCCTAAACCCTAAACCCCAAAAGAACCCTTAAAGGAACCCTAAACCCTAAACTCCAAGGTACCCCGAATCCCATCGAGCAGAGTGAACACATCCGTGGACGCCTCCTCCAGGTTTCGGCCCGGCACTTCCTAACATCAAACATCGGCGAAAGGGATCCGGGTGCAGAGCTTTGGGGCTTCGTAGGGGTTTAGGGGTTAGGGGTTTAGGGGTTTGGGGGTTTAGGGGTTTAGGGGTTTAGGGTTTAGGGTTTAGGGTTTGGGGTAGTCTCAAGATTCCGATATCGGGGTCTTCCCGGAGTTCAGGGCTTGCGGCTTGCAGCCTGGGGTGTAAGATTTGAACTTGGGTCTGCTGACGCTTGTCTGCCTCCCACTCCTTGCACTATAGTGGAGGGCCTTTCGAGGATTTCGTCATACTACCCCCCTTGTAGCCCCTATATTCTATACACTTAACGTGTAGCATACCTTCAAAACCCCAATCTGATCATGAATGATGGTGACGTGCTGTGCCATCCGCGCGGAAAGAGGTGCCCATGATCAGCGTACGTAGGGCTACTTGCAGGTTCAGAGGTAGGTATTGACCGGGTTGGAAGCACCTTGATGGGCACTACATGTAGTTGTAAAGTAAAGTATTCTTACTACTTGGAGGTTCATGGGTAGTTATATGTGGGGTTATAAGTAGGTTAACTGTAGTTATAACCCATATTAGGGGACTTATAACCCTACTTATAACTACCCATGAACCTCCAAGTACACTTGCAACCCCGCTCATCCTCCAGACCTCAAGCCCACAAGTGCCTAAATCCCTTTTATTTGATCTTGGCTGAAAGCTCCGCAGAGTGTGAGGCTTGGAACGGGCTTGAGGTCGCGCCTAGGGCGCGCGGCTGGGGCTACGGCTCGGTTCAAAGCTGAAGGATTAGGGGCTTGAGCCTGCCCTAAACCCTAAACCCTAAACCCCTAAACCCTAAACCCTAAATCCTAAACCCTAAACCCTAAACCCTAAACCATTTAGGAAGCAGGACAAGAAGCCTGCAGCAGCCATGGCTCACAGCCGGGGGTAGCAATGGGAAGGCTTCCGGATGCGGGGCTGTCCCCTTGGCTCAGTAGCTCTGGGAAATTGGGAGTTCCTTATAATAATAATAATAATAATTAATAATAATAATAATAGTAATAATAATAATAGTAATAATAAGAATACTATAAAGGACCCCAAAACCCTGTTCTAATTATTAAGGCCCCTACATTTGGGTGAATCTTAAGCTTGAATCCTGAGTTGTGATGTGGGCTCTGCTGCTTGAGCATCTCGACGGAAAGGCCCGCAGTCTTCCAGCGCTGCTACTGCCCAGGTACGGGGGCAAAAGGGAATGCCAGAATTGGACCCTGCATGCCAGCCTTATGGGAGTAACAGAGTAACTGTTATAGTAAACCCTTTTTCAACATGGACTGGGGATTTCATGGTTACGTCTGAACCTCGAGCCGGCGGCACACATGCAATGTCCCGGAAGAAGCAAGCACGCCTTGCTGGGGGTTTATCGTTTCGGTCTGTTTTGGCATGCTGCTCTGAACGAAGTCTTTCGAAGAAGTTGCCGCAAAGCATGGAGGCGCCGTCAAAACAACAAGAGTAATACTGATACTCAAGCTCCCAAACCCAAAGGCTGACATTTCAAGCGCCAAAGCTTGGAACCCTAAACCTATTATAATATATTATAAGCCCCGAAACGCAAACACGAAGCAGAGTCTCGCCGAGGCTTTGAGGGCTTCATGGGGTGCCAACACCACCTTCTTGAAAGAGCACACTTGGAGGTTCATGGGCAGTCACAAGTAGGGTTACAAGTCCCCTAATATGGGTTACAACTATAGTTACCCTACTTATAACCCCACCTATAATTACCCATGAACCTCCAAGCAAGTCATTGGGGAGCTCTGAAATCAGAACCAGGAAATCATGACCTGCACACAGAGTCACCAAACCTTAAGGAGCAAGGGGCGGCAGAAACCGTCGAGGATCTGACGTAATCCACGTTTGAATCGCTATTTGGGAGGGTTCATGGGTAGGTATGAATGTGGTTGTAAGCAGGGTAACTATAATTATTACTACATTAGGCGACTTTCTAACCCATGAACCTCCAAGTACAGCCTATGCACAAGAAGGGTCTGCTGCAAATGCCCTGAGATTTTCGACGTTATTCCAGCTTGAGGATCCCTTTCGCAAGCAGCAGCCTGTGCGACAGGCGACGGCTGCCAGTGCTGGGATCAGGAGTTCGTGGTTCATACTTGGAGGTTCCTGGGTAGTTATCAGCAGGGTAGTAAGTAGGGATATAACCCATATTAGGGGACTTATAACCCTACTACCAATGAACCTCCAAGTACCCATGCACCGCCTATCTATCTCCACATGCTGGGTTTTAAGAGACCAGAGTGTGGGTCGACCGAGAGCCAAGGCTCGAAAACCCGAGTAACAACCCGATGACAACAACGGAACTAAGTAAGCAACACTACCAGCATGAATCCGAATCCGAATTCCACATGGGTGGAACAATCCAGGGAACCAGCACGAAAAACAGTTCGGAAGAGTGGCGTTGCTGATTCGAGAGAAACAGCAGCACCACAAAAAGCGCTCGTCACAAGAAGGAACATGGCAGCAGCAGTAGCCTTGTCGTGATGGTTGCTGTCGTCGTCTCCATCGTCGTAGTCGCAAACGTGTCGTGACTTCAGAGGCGGTAACACACAAGTATCAGTAGAAGCGAGGGTTTAGGGTTTAGGGTTTAGGGGATTCAGTAGGCTGGAATAACAAATCTAAGTTTCACTCGAACCTCAGAATTCCCTCAAGTCCCGGCCTGTGTCCAAGCGACTTCACGTCCAAGGCCTCCCACAGGGACTGCTCGATGCCTCACCAAAGGCCGGCTCAGGCATTGTCTCAAGCACCAAACCCCGAGTTCCAAATTTCCGGCTCGCACTGAGTTCTCTTGTTGGGTTTAGGGTTTAGGGTTTAGGGCCAGAGAGGTGCCAACATGTAAGCAAAAAAGCCCCAAGGCAGCGAAGGCTGTCCGTTAAGCCCCGGAGGAAGACCCGAAGCTCCAGAGCGAACCCCCTACCTGCAGGATCATGGGACTTGGTAAGTAAGGTTATAGGTCCCCTAATTGGGGCTATAAGTATAGTTACCCTAATTATAACTCCACTTACTCAGTCCCATGAACCTCCAAGTACCTCTAACATAGAAGCCTGCAAAGTCGGACTTGGGACATGGGGCTCTTGAGTTCCATGGGTGTACGGTTCCCTTAGAAAGGGTGCTATAAGGGATCTACTAGAAGGGTTTAATGTAGGGGCCTTCATAATTAGAATAGGGTTTTGGTGGTATATTATACTATATATCTACAATAAGGAAGCCCCAAAATAGTATGTAGGGGTCTTAATAATTAGAATATGGCTTTGGGGTATATTATACTACATCTACTATAAGAAAGCCTCAAAATAGTATTAGGAATTATCTAGGCCCCTATATTCGAAGCCTGCAACATCGGACTTGGGACATGGGTTCTTGGGTTCCATGGGGTCTTAATAACTAGAATAAGGCTTTGGGGTGTACTATACTATAATCATAATAAGGAACCCGCCGAAATAGTATAGGTAATTCTTAAGGCCCCTGTATTAAGTACACTGGGGAAGCCGAAGGTGAACAGAGGCAAGGTTTGTTCAGACTACGAGATCAGGGCTTTGCAATTCGGCCCAGCGGAAACAGCGATTCCTAAACCCAAAAGCTCCTCCCCACAGTCCCCAAAACCCCAAACTTCATGCTCCGAAAAAACCACCAGGCCTTTTCAAGAGGCTTTCCACGGAGTGGTGAGTGGAATAGGACCTAAGAAACCCGAAATCCCATAAACCCGAAACCCTGCCATTTACAGGCCCTGAACTCCAAGCCTGAGACATCCTACAATATCCGGCATCCACCATCCATCCGACACACTATAGGGTTTAGGGTTTAGGGTGTAGGGCTTTAGGGGTTTAGGGTTTAGTGTTTTCGACTCCCTAGACCTCAAAACCTTGAACCCTGAAATCCTGAATCCTCAACCGCAGCCCCCAAACGACACGCCAAGGTACGCCCGATGACGGACCCCTTTGGATGCTCGGGGAGGATACCTGGGCTTTAGGGTTTCTTGGAGGTTCATGGGTATCTATGAATGAAGTTGTAAGTAGGGTAACCATAATTGTAACCCATGTTAGGGGACAGGTTCAGGGTTTAGGAGACTTTGCTAGCCTGTTCGGCCTAGCATTTTGGGCTTTTGGGCTCAAAGTCGGGAGTTCAAGCTTACTCTCTCGTTGCGTGTCTGATGGCTCTCCGGCTTTGCGGAGCTTTTGGGGCCTGGTCAAGGGCTTAGGAGCCTTATGCGACCCATCCCGATACGCCTAGACTCTGGTGATTCTGCCGTACTTTGAGGGCAACGGAGGCCTAAAAGAATCCAGAACCTGAAGCTCGCCAAGATGGCCACATGTCTGCAGACCATGATGTTAGATAATACTTTACTATACTATGTATGTATATATATGTATATATATAGGTATATATATATATATACATATATATATATATATATATTCTATACTATTAGCATGGCATCAGAAGCAAAGGTTCGGAAAAGAAGCTACATAGCTACAAGCTGCGCGAGAACCTGAAGACGAAGCCCGCGACTTAGAGCCGCTGTTATAGGGGCCTTAAAGATGAGAATAGGGTTTTGGGGTAAAGCATTCGCCTTAAAGATGAGAATGGGGTTTTTGGGGTTCCTTTAAAGGGTTCCTTAAAGGGTTCGCCTTAAAGATGAGAATAGGGTTTTCGGGCTCCTCTAAAGGTTCCTTAAAGGGTTCGCCTTAAAGATGGGAATAGGGTTTTGGGGATATAGTATAGTACAATGACAGAAAGGAATCCTAACGAATGATATTGGCAATTCTTCAGGCATCTATATTACAGCATCGTAAGTGCAGCCCACACCACAGGCTGAAAGCGCCGGCACTCCCCCGAACTCCTCCAGGATGTGGTGGGACTGAGGGCTCGGGGTTCGGGCTGTAAGGAGTTTTTGTTTGCCGGACCTTTTCTCCCGTCGAGCTTTAGGGTTTACGTCTGAAGGCTTAGGGCTGAAGATCAGTCTCGAGGCCAAGCTCGAGTAGTTTCCGATGTTTTGAACTGCTAAACGGCACGTCCACCCGCCGAAGTTTACAGGCATTCGTATCAGCCAGGCAACATGTTGGGGTGGATTCTTCAACCGTGGAAAATGAACTTCCGGGCCTGAGATGTGAAGTCTTGAGGGTCTGGCTGAAGCCTCCTAAAAAACAATATAGCATAATAGAGTAGAGCATAGATGAGCATAGTATGTGATATACATATATATATATACATACATACATACATACATACATTTATGGTAGAATAATACAGCATAGCATAATATGACATAAATGTATATATATATATATATGATAGTATAATACAGTCTAGTATAATTATACAAAATAATATGTCTAACCGTAAAACTCTTGAAGAGAGCCCAACTTACGAGACAAAGTCAAGGGTCCTGGGCTGTTCTATCTCTAACTAACCCCCGAATCTGAACCTTTGTAACGTGGGGGCCTTAATAATTACCGGTACCGGTACTATTTTGGGGGATGCCTTCTTATACATATAGTATAGTATAATATACCCCAAAACCCGATTCGAATTATTAAGGCCCCTACATTAGGGGGCACGGGAAAACACTGAAGACAACCCTGAACACCACGTGCACGGGAAGTTCAGGGGTCTAGGGCTTAGGACTCCCGCCCTCAACTTTACAAACCAAACCCCCGAAATACCCGAAAGCCCTACAAGACGCCACACCCTGTGAGGCACACCGAGCTCCTCAGTGATCGCCTTCGTGTAGATCACCTGAGACCAACCCTCAGGCCTTCACAGGCCGTACATAAACCGCGCAACCCTGAACTCTAAAGCCTCTTTCACAATCCGAGCTCGAGCTGCTGCTTTGGGCGGTTTGGGGTCCTTTACCCTGAACCCTAATCCCCACACCCCTAAAGGTTCTAGGGTTTGGGGCGTGAGATATTTAGGGTTGAGGGTTTTTTGAGGGTTTAGGGTTTGGGGTGTAGGAAGATAACCCTCGCCCCAGACCGAACGACCGATGCCCAAACTCGATAATGCTGCCCGAAACAATCGGAATACATGAGTATGGTTACAAGACTGATGATGGTACAAATCAGAACAGTAAGAGCAATATTAGTCGAACAAGAAAACAAGAAGAATAGCTAAAGCGACCCCAGTGTACTAGTTACTAGTCACAATAAGACTAACCATCATCAAAACACAAAACCTTGATTACAGGAAACACCCGAAACCCCAAACTGCCGAGAGCGCCGCTGACCATTTGCCTGGGCGCTCGAGGCTCCGACCGAGGCCCCCGACCGAGCGTCTCGTCAGAACGGTGAGGGATGGTCGAGGACTGCAGTGAAGCCACCCCGCTATCCATTTTTTGCTGTCAGGCAATAAAGACTTCCCCCCACAACCCGACACCAATCCATCTCAGCTGCTCTCACATGCAGTCATTTTATGCAGGGCTGCGAGGAGAAGCAGAGAGCAAGAAAGCCCCCTTTGGGGGGTGAGCCCTAAACTCTAGTTGAGAATAGTTGGGGCGGAACTACATGCTGACGCAAGCGCGCGATTAGTGGGCGCGCCCCTATTCCTAAAGTAAAAGGCGCACCCACTACGCGCACACTGTATACACACCCTAAACCCTCAATCCTAAACCCTAAACCCTAAACCCTAAACCCTAAACCCTGAACCCTAACCCCTAACACCTATACACCCTAGACCCTGAACCCTAATCCCTAAAGCCTAAAACCCTAAACCCTAAGCCCGACCAGCTTGGCCAAGGCGCGAGGGCTCCTCGCCCGGAGTCCAAGCCCCTTAGCCACTCCCGCACTTCGTTCTCGGCCTCTTCGGGCGCCTCCTTGGGGTTTGGTTCTTAGGGGATTCTATAGGGTTTGGGTTTAGGGTTTA